TATTGATATATATATCAATATTGTTTATCCAAATCATGTGGGTGGCCAAGTGATGTTTACAGTAACATAATATATCATTTATTTCTATTTTAGGAAATCGCTGCCTCGAAATGCTTAAGCTTAATCTTTTCAGTGTAACTTTGGTTGGTTTTCATTTAGCTAAAGTGCCTCTATCATTTTTAAGGTTTCGATGCACCAAGTGTAGCAGAGGCTGGTCTTCTAACATGGTGATGGTGGTCTGCCACATGCAACTGAGAAACGGGAAGGGCGTTGTGAAGGTGAGGCCCTCTTGTCAGAAGTGTAAGGAGTGCAGCGAAGCCCCGATGGAGAAGCCCAGCATCCCCTCCGACAACATCTTCACCCTCATGAAGAATCTGGTGGAGAAGATAAGAGTAAAATGTTACAATGAAACCCCGGAACGAAAGAAGCATTTTAGAAACTTCGACGGCTACAAACCCCATGAGCCTGCTCATTGTGAAGCCTGTATGAGAGGCTTCTGTCCAAAGAACCGCTCCTAAATCAGCTTTATTGTTTATACAACAACAAAAAATGATGGATTTGTTTCAGGCTTTTCAATAATATGTTATTCCTCAGCTAATATAAGCAAAATAGGAGTTACTCCTTGTCATTCTGTTGCATTCAAGTACATGTAAGCTATATAATTATTCTTGTTGGTTTTTCCTTGTTGTGTGTTCTATTACAAATGTAAATATGTTTCTCAAAAGCATTAAAGCAGCCTTCTTACAAATAAATGTAAATCAGAAGATTTTACAAGCAATAAACTAAACATGTTTGTTATTTCCGTTTGGGTGTTTTCTGTTTTCAAATAAATGAACACACCGACACACACACACACACACACACACACACACACACACACACACACACACACACACACACACACACACACACACACACACACAGTACACACATACAGTGTTGCATGAATACAACAGGAAAGTGTTTCAGTTTCATTTCTGTTGTAGTTTTCATATTTGATAGCTATGAAGTTTTTATGAAGGACTAAGGGAAACATCATATTTAAGTTAATACACACTAATCAACATGTTTTGTGTGCAACTTATTCGTAAATGAAACTTAACTTTTAGTCAACTTCCAGTCAATATTAGTCATAAATCACTCCGTCATAAATTCATTACATGGGTGTTACCTTCTCTTCATGTCATATAAAAATGAAAAAATGCTGTTGGTATATTTATAAGACGTGGCATCTGCCCCATCAAAACAACCTTGTCACTCCTCATTCCAAGGGTTGTCGAACGAAACTTAAGGAAAACTGGTTTCTGTTTTTAAGTTTCATTTTCATTAACTCTATATAAGGCTACATTGGTCAGCTGTTAGTGTGTACAGATCAACTGTTAGTGTTTTGTCTCTTCAGTCATCGTCACCACTGGCACTGACAGGATGGCACAGCCGGAGTGGACGAGTATTTTCAAGATAAAAACCAATGATCTTCCAGAAGAACACTCCTGGCGTCTGCAGTTTGATGACAATATTGTACCTGACAGCCCGAACTCTGGATGGAAGCAGTACATCAGGAACACCAGTGCATGGTCAGTGAACAAGTATACTGTAAATTGATATAGGTGCTGCGTGTATATAGATATGGTATACCATACGTTAGGTTAATATAAAGTATAGTTTAGTGGATGCATTTGGTTTATAAAGGTTTGTTTATGTGCATCTACTGGTACCTAAAGAGCAGTGTGTTGGATTTATAATTTATTTGACAGATATAGAAAATAATTATTACAACTATGTTTCTTTACATGTCATTAGTGGACCAAAATGGGTCCCCACAAAGTAAATTAGGTACATTCTAGGAAAGGATAAAGGTCAGGTTAGGGTTAAGGAATTGAATGTAAGTTCATGCTTTGTACAGTGTAACGAAAGCTTAGTTATGGAGTTAGAGTTCTATTTGTGAAAAATAAATAACATTATTGAGAAGATCATATGTTTTAGACTGGAAACCCTTATAGCAGAGTATTTGTCATTTTGTTAAAGGGCCAGTGCAGAATTCAAGTAACTTTGGTCCTCTGTCATGTTAAGGTTCAAATGCACCTCCTGTGGAAGAGGCTGGCCAACCAACCGGGTGATGGTGCTCTTCAACATGCGCCTGACAGAGCGGGAGGGCGTGGTCAAGGTGAGGGCCTTCCGTCAGAAGTGCAAGAAGTGCTGCGCAGCTCCGATGGAGAAGCCCACCATCACCCCCGAAAACATAGACATCCTCCTGGAGAATCTGGTGAAGAAGATAAGAATAAAATGCTACAACGAAGAGCTGGGTGAAGCACCAAAGCCTTATCTAGCCCTTGAAGTCAAAAGTCCCCATGAGCCTGCTCATTGTGAGGCTTGTATTGGAGGCTACTGTACAAGGGTTTAAGCTTGTAATGCTTTCAAACTTAACCTAATTTAAAATAATAATACATTTGTCTTGTGCTTTGCATAAACACACTTCAGTAAAGCATCAATTGTATTTGATCTCCTCTCCTTTCTTGCCGTGTCATTGTTGGTTGCTTCTATCATACTTACAGTATAAACAATAGTCAAGTGCATGCAAGCTTTTATATTTATTCTTTTTGGGGGTCAAAAGTCCTTAACATATGAAGTTGTCTTCTCCAAAGCATTAAAATAACATTCTTACAATTAGAAATGTTGGGAATAATTGAAGTATATACAAACAATAACGGTGTGAATGTGTTCTGTTTTCAAATACTTTTGTCTGATTTTAAATGTAATGTATGATTATTGCACAAAAAGGAAAGATATAAGCATGTCAATGAATTTGGACACTTGAAGTACAGTTTTTATAAAGTAGTCACTAAGATACCGGTAAACTAATCTTTAAACAGTACAATGTTTAACCCATAAGAACCCAGACCCATTTATACTTTTGGGGAGATTAAGGGGAAGATAATTTAGACTAAATTGTTATGATTCGTATTAGTTTTCCCTGTTTTATTTTGTCCAGCCAAGATCTGCTTTCCTGTTTTAGTTTGAAAAGTGTTCATCCCCCGTCTTGTCTGTTGCTTCCTCTCTCTGTGTTCCCTCCTGCTTGATTACCCGATTGTGTTCACCTTGTGTGGTGCCCCTGTGTTTTCTCATCCCTCCCCACCTGTGTCTTGTTCGTGTGATTAGTCTTGTTGTGTGCAATTAAGTTCTGTCTTTTGTCTTGTTGTGAGTTTTGAAGTCGTTGGAAGGATTCTGTTCTGAGGGATTTAATGTTTTGCCTTGCCTTATTTTACTTTGTTGCCTGGCCTAGTTCCGCAATTAAAGGATTTTTTTGATTTTCAACCAACCTTCTGCATTTGTGCCACATAGAACACATTTCTGACATCCCCCCCGCCCCCGCCCCCATTGTGTCAATTATCTGAAAAGTGACATATATGTCACTTTGGGTTTTAATGGTAAAGTAACTCTTATTTATAACTTAATTAATGAGGATGATTTTTTGTTTCAATATGTTTGAACATTGAAGAATAAAGAATATATTAACTAAAAATACCATAATTGAATCAGCTAAATTAGCTGAGCAGATCATAATAATATTTCTGATTGTGCATATATGTCACTCCGGGTTTACTGTGAAAGTTTAGGGTTAAAGTCCAGATGTGACATCAGTGTCACAGCGATATTTATCTCATTTGTTTCATATCAATTTAAACAAGAAATGTTTCCACAAAGGTTAAATCTAATAAAGGACAATTCTTAAATGGCTTGAATTTGACCTTTAGCAACAAACAAAAAAGCTTTTGAAATGTGGTTAGTTCTGTCACATGTGTTACCTGGCACATGGACCTCTTGGACATGTTGTTATGGGAACACAAAATCACATGACCTGGCCCTTGGCCATGACCCACCAGACTGTTCAGGGTGTGTCACTGATACTTCATGGGATAAAAACAAGGCTAAAACTGTAGAAGGAACTTTCCAGAACATCTAAATGGCATGTAACACCTGTGTCACGGTGGGTCCTTGTGGGTTGAATAAAAAAAAATATATAGACCAGTGTAAAGGACAATTTTGAGACAAAGGGACATTTTGCACACAGTAGGTCCTTTTTTATGCATGGTATCAGTCGTAAAGTGTCTGTGCCAAACACGAAGTGAGTGATGCACTTTATATAACACAGCACATTTCCTCACACTTCATTAACACAAGATTAATCCAAGAAGAATACTGCCTGGTGTTGGTAAAAAGCCTCAAGGATGTTATATATTTCGAAGCAATTTAGTAACAATAAAAAAAATAAAAAAAAATCACATTCTGTAGAGCAATATAAATTAATATAAAGAAAGGTTGTTTTTTTCCCCGTGGTATGTATGTGTTTTGTATAGTGCTGCGTACCGGTACGCCGAACCGGTACTGGACTTGTAAAAAGTTTCGGTTCAAGTCCGGTTAAAACCGGAACGTCAGGAACCGTTACTTACGTATATTCTCCTTTGTGTTCTAAACCATCTAAAACCTTCCATAGATCGAGAAATTTGCGCTGAGAAAAGACGAAAAACATTGTTTTGGCTTCTGATATGGCGGCCATTACTGAAGTCTCGCAAAAATATCGCAACTGCTCGCGAGATCTGTGTGACGCCAAGGGAAGCTGGCTTCGACATAGTGGACACTGACAGCGTGGGATGCTGGTTGCCATATTTGGTAGTGTAGCTAAGCTAACTCCTTTGTATGTATGGTGATATAGTGTCTGCCGAAGGAGCAACACTTCACCCAGACAATGTCAATATGCTGTTGTTCTTGAACAAGAAGTGTACTCTTGCATATTGAGTCTTGTATGTACATCACTATGTATGTAGTTGTGTAGTGTAGTTAGTAACACATGTAGAGTTCTAGAAAAGACATGGTGTAGACACAAGTTGGAAGGGGGCACAATAAACCTGACGAGTTTGAATTTGAGTTGATTATGAGTTTATTTTCAATTGATAATTAGCTCACAATAAGTTCACTTTAGTTACTCACACAACTTGACACAAGTCCGGACTACCTGAACCTCTGGACTTGAGTCCGGACCTGAACCTGAATGTGAGTCCAGGTACACAGCACTAGTTTTGTACCATGTTTTTCTGAGTTTCTGCTTGAATAAAAAAAAATCTGCTGAAAAATAAATAAAAAGAAAGGTTGGTTTGCAACCTGACAACATACTGTAATGGAAAATGTAAATAGTTTGGCATGCAGGACACCAGAGGACACATGTTTCTCAAAGGCCCTCCACTGTTTATTTGCGTACAACCAGCATGTGTGAAGCTGATGCCGCTGTGGTCAGTCTTCACCGTCCTCAAGTCACACCGTGTGGTACAACACATAAACGTGGTTTATCTTTGTTTTATATGAAACCACCTTCATGGAAAGTAGCTGCCTTGCATTTCCCACATCATTTGCCAGGGGTTTATCCACATCACGCATGGTTTACTTTGGCAGTTTGTATATCTTGGACTCCGACGCTGAATTTAGTCTTGCTGAAGTGAGTTTTCCGGTGGTGAGTGGTGGGTATGCCTTTGCTTTCTGACAATGGTTATTCACAGTTACATATGACTCTCCTGTTCATGCAATTGACAACTAAAGCAAATGTTCTCATAGAGCAGTGTGATAATTATTCTGTGATTTCCAGGCATGTGATTCGGTAAAAAAGTGCTTTCATCTGACAACTGTAGAAAGATAAATATTCAACTCTTGACATCATGACACCTAAGGGGGCTACACTGAAGGTAAAGTATCTCCTAACCTTACATGTTGTGTATGTTTTCTGTGTTATTTTCTAAGGCTAAATACAGCATTTGGTTGAATCTGATAAAAATCTATAATTAGTGCTTTTAGTTACTTACATTGACAAATTAATGTGATTGTTGTTTTTATATTCTAGGGTCTCCCACCATCAGTAATGGCCACTGTGGTCATGTTTCTCATTCTGATACCAGGTAAGAGTTTTTTTGGAAAGCACCATTTTAAGTAATAGGCCTGCTTACATAAAATAAATCTAAAAACAAATAACACCAAGGAATGATAAAATGCAGGTTAATGTTTACTGCATGCACAATTATACTATGTATGCAATGTTGTCTGCCAAATGCAGGAAGATTTAAATTCCTTTATATTTTTTATTAATATTCGTAAAGAAAGTCCATTGAATTCCCAGTGATCATTGTGAATTAAAGCTCAGGCAATCTTCTTACACATTATTCCAGTGACATGCAGATCTATAAAGTCCCCAAACTTTTTTTATAGAGCTTTTCATTTTTTAATCTTTATCTCAGCTGCGGACAGTGCTATCCAGATAAACTGCTCTGAACCGAGCCAGCCCTCCCTACTGGAGGCTCTGGCTCCAATCTTTAACCTGAGCGCCATACGACCTGTCATGAACTTGACCACCCGCACCAACGTCAACATATCCTTCATCATGTATGGGATACTAGGAGTGGTATGTTTCAGCTCTTAGTAAAGGATCATTTAAAATCTGAATGTGGCTTTTGTCTTAGAATTAAACTCTTCAGTTGTATGGTATGTTAGGCAAATCACTTAAAAGTTATTTGTATACCAGTAGGAGCTTTATGAATGTATAATTGTATATTATACAGTATATTTAGTATTGATAAATCACCAGAAAAGCAACATCCTCTGTAATTCTATTTCTTTCTTCAACCAAATCTGATTTAAACCGCTTCTTTCTGGGCTCCACTGAAACTTCTTTTCAGATTTAAATGGTCCCAAACAAATATCTTAAAACAGCGACACCTTCTGTCTTAAACCATGTCTTCTTTTCTTCCAGGATGAAAAGGGTCAACTCTTGCTTACCTACCTTTGGCAGCATTTTGTACGTATTCCAATGATCCATCGTTACGTCTTAATCATTAATGACTGGATAATGATGGGATATTTTAGTGAATTATGTGAATGTACCATCAATTATACAAGATCTGTGCACTGACACCGCTTTTTATATTTAGTGGTGGATGAACGAGTTTGTCCGCTGGGATCCAACGCAGTGTGGCTCCGATAAGATTTCTCTTCCCAGGAAAAAGTTTTGGGTGCCAGATATTGTCATCAATGAATTGTGGGTATACAGTATATATACATCCTTTACACACAAGCAAATCATTTCGCAAAACAATTGGGAACTTTAGCTTTGATCAAACATCGCTCAAAAGCCATAAATAGTGCATTTTATTTAAGGATTATATTTGTTTAGTCATTTGGTGTGCTAGGGGGTATTTCCATCAGCAGGGCTGCATGTGTCCATTCATTGTGGTGAAAAAAAGATCTCCCAGAACTAGTTGACAGATTTTTGTGTGGTCAGATTAATGCTTAACACGAAATACTTTAAAATGTTGTCTTCTAGTGGGTTTTAGGGACAAGGGCACACCCATTTAAGTTCAGAAATATAAGGTGGAATGCTCTTGTTTTGCAGACATTTGACTCGTAACTGCTCTGCTTGTTCCTGTCTTGCAGTATGGATGAAAACACAGCCCCCTTTGTGCCGTATGTGTACCTGTACAGCGATGGTAGGGTGCACGATGCCTCACCAATCAGAGTGGTCAGTTCCTGTAACCTCGATATCTACACTTTTCCCTTCGATATACAGAACTGCACTATGACTTTCAACTCCTACATCCACCTGGGTAAGTCACTTCACCAAAGGTCTAATTTCCTTTCCTAAAATAACTCTGTATGCCAGGTTGAATGCCAGAAATGTAAATGCATATGTAAATAAGAGGCAGTAAATAGTTTTTAGCCCTATTGTAAGCAAATTAAATGTTGAACGTTCAAACATCATCTTCACAACACATTTGCTTTTTTTTTTACCATGACCACGACCAAACTTAAATATATACTCCATAATCATGTTTTTTCTTTTTAAAGTTTGTTGTTATGAAGTTACCCCTGTGACCTCAGAGTTAGGATTATAAGTACACATTTGTGTTTCTTAACTGACAAAAATCATCAATGAAATGTAAAGAATCTTGAGTAGACCCATATTTACTTTGGAGAAACTATACATTTATATGTATGTAATGTATGTTGTGTGGCCTTAACTTTACAGGATTATATATATTTGTGATGTATTCTCTCCCCAGCTAAGGACATAATGATTGTCCTGGATAGGGATGCAGAAAACATCACCAAGCTCTCCAAAAGCTGGATGACCACCATGGGAGAGTGGGAGCTGCTGGATATCACCTCCCATCACAGTGACGGAGATATCGAGGGGAATTACATTGATGAGCTTGTATTTCATGTAAGTGTGTGTCATTTTCACAACCTGGCCTTGAATTGGTTTTGAAGCAAGTATGTTTAAAAATGTTTTACTTTGCTTCATCATTCTGTCCTGTAATGTTTTCATTTGTCAAACACACCTTATATAAGGCCCATTAAAATCATTCATTGTGTAGCTGCCGTTATTATACTGTATGGGGACTGCGTTACGATAGAACACAGAACAAGAATGTAAAAGCTCAGAGAAATGTTAAAAGTGCATGGAAAAGGTACCAAAGGTTTTGTTTCTTCTATCTGCAGGTCATAGTGAGGCGTCGAGCCACCCTGTATGTGGTGAACCTGCTGATCCCCAGCTGCTTCCTCATCACAGTGGACCTCTTCAGCTTCATGCTGCCCCCCCAGACTGTGGACCGTTCCTCCTTCAAGATGACCCTCATCCTGGGATACACTGTCTTCCTGCTCATCATGAACGACCTGCTGCCTATCACCGGAAACACCATTCCTCTCATAAGTCAGTGTTCATTGTATAAACAGCTGTCCACCTGTTATACAGTATTGAGCAGAGGTGGGAAGTAGTGGAGTACAAATACTTTGTTACTGTACTTAAGTACATTTTTACTTTACTCCACTACTTCTTTTTCTGACGACTTTTTACTTTTACTTTTACATTTTTAACACAAATACCTGTACTTTTACTTCTTACATTTTCAAAACAGGCTGGTTACTTTAGTTTTAATCTGCGTTTGGTGGCGTGATCATTATTATTTTGATTCATTGCATGCCTTTTAATACGATCCGTGTATCCGTAATTTCCTGGTCTTCTCTAAAGAAAAGTGACCAATGAAAACGTTGTCATTCTGTTCAGCTAAGAATGACATGATTGTTCTATTAATATAAAGGGAGGTCAGGTACTCTTTAAAACAGTTGCTAGTTATGGATACTTTTTACTTAAGTACATTTCGAAGCCCATACTTCTTTGCTTTTACTTGAGTAAAGAAGTTTAGTCAATACTTCTACTTTTACCAGAGTATTTTTAAACACACACTTCTGCCATCTCTGGTATTGAGTGAGTGCCAACCTGTTTCCTGCCTCTCTCTGCCAGATGTGTTCTTCTCCCTCTGCCTGGCTCTGATGGTGACCAGTCTGCTGGAGACTGTCCTCATCACCAACCTGCTGTGTGGCTCGGCCGACTTCTCTCCCGTCCCTCGCTGGGTCCGAGTGTTTGTTCTGGAAATTCTGGGCCGTCTGGTTTGCCTGCCTCAGAAGACTAAAGAAAAGAGTACATTCTGTACGAAATATAGGCTTTTAAGATGTAGATAAGATTAGATCAGAAGCAGTTTATTGATCCCAATTTGGGACATGTTTGCGTTGCAGCAGCATAAAAAGGCAATGTACATATATGTACATTTCAGAAAATGACTAGTACAGAGTAATTAAGATGGATGTTGTTTATACACACACACCACTTAGAAGAAGTGAATGTAATAATTGTTTCTTTCAAAACTAGGCATGAAACCCTACGCTGAGGCGACACAGCAGAAAGCTGACGGGCCTCCAGAGGAGAAGGGGACAGCGCTGGAGGACAAGGCCCTTCAGGAGCTCAGGAGCCTGGGTAGGGACCTCCAGGCCATCCGCCTCCAGGTGCAGCAGCAGGAAGGAAGCCAGAGCTCGCAGGAGTGGATCCAGGTGGGTTTCATCATAGACCGCCTGCTGTTCGGCCTCTACATCCTCTTCGTATCAGTCAGCTTCATTACCATCACCATAATCTGGGGGAACTCATACAGCCCATAGACAATGGCTGTCTGTTTAAAGGGGCAACATTCATGACTGAAACAGTTGTCGAGTAATAATCACTTTGATAATTTTATTGTTTTGTTTGGTAACAATATATTTAAACATAATCTATTGTCTTACTTTTACTCATAACCTATGGTCAAACCATCACTACCGGATATTACATTTACTTGATCACATTTATATAGTAGTTCTTAGCATTTTAAGCGGTTGTATCTGCATTCGTTATATTTCATTCATATAATTGCATTCATTGTGCCATTCTAAAATCATTGGAAATCCTTGTGAAAGAAATAAAATTACTTGAAAAAAAATTCATTCAGCTTGCGATTGACATTTATTTCAAACATAATAAGCATGTTCAAATTGTTTTCCTATTTATTCATTAATTGTAATACCAGTATTGCATCCTATATTCTATTACTATGGACATCCAATCACAAGACTTTGAACATAGCTGCAGTGATAGGTCAGGCACTGATGGCTCACAGTCATGCTGAAGGTTTTGGATGAGGTTAGGGTTAGGGTTGGAAGCTTTGCTGTCCTATGTATTGTATCTAGATATCCCTTACAACCAAGGGACTGAGACTAGTATGCACGGCCATCATTTCTGCAATATAGTGAATGTTGTAATCAAACTACATAAAAAACATGGTTTCACTTTTTTGTCATTATTTTTGTATTCTCATCTATTATTTCTTAGTAGGTAAATATATTTTATTTATCTATGTAAATATGCAGAGCTCGCTACGGTGTGAGCAGGAGGGTACAATTATTTGCCCAATCATAACCCTGGTGTGCTGTTGATCACATTTAAATGTAAATCAAACTGAAACATGTTAATTGTTTTCTCATGTTGACAACCTTGATACTCAAAATGTCCCTTTATTTTTTAAATATATTTATTTGAATCTGGATATTTTCTGAGGGTTTCCTACTGTTGGGATTCAGAGCTTTCAGACATGCCACATTTTAAATAAATTCACGTGGCTTCTTAAAGTGCACCCACACTTACAAACACAATTATACATATTTCATTTTCACTTTTCTAGAGTCTGTTCAAGTCTGTATTTTTCACCTAAAATGTGTGTAGAAACAAAATAGCCTAAACCACCAGCACATCACTCAAACTAACAACGGCTTTTGACCCAATGTTAATGTTTTTAGCGCTGCCCGCTGAAACTCAAGCCTTCTAAGGTTCTATTCATCTTCATCTCTGTGCTCATGCATGGTAAGTACAGCTCCTCCCCTAATAATGGGTTCATCAAGAAACCATTTATTTTTATATTTGAATCATTAATACGTTTGGGAAATGCCTTTACTTGCTACTAGTACGTGCTGTTAATGTGATTTGATAATCATAATGACAGATTTCTTTCTTTCAGTAGCTCCGTGTAGTTCCATCATGCAGAACTGCTCTCGACCTGACACACCTTCCCTGCTGGAGGCTCTCCAACCGGTCTTCAAGCTAAACGAAATTCGACCTACCATGAATATGTCAACTCCCACCAACGTCAGCATTGGCTTTGTCCTGTTTGGCATTTTGGGCTTGGTAAGGGACACTATAAACCTGGCCTCACTTCATTTTCAGACCATAAATACTGTATGACGGATTGTTTGTTCTTCTTCAGGATGAAAAGGCTCAAGTTCTTAAAACGTATATCTGGCAAGATATGGTAAGTATTCTACAATAAACATCCTTATTCATCAAGCAACAGACCACTAGATACTACAGGACTTAAACTACCAAAAACAAATACTCTAACCTATTATTGTCCAATTACACCAACAAAGAATACTGCTCTTTATTAATGTTGTTTAAATGGGAGTACAAGATATTTTAAAATGTCACCAGCTGGTGACATTTTAAAAAGCTCTAATATTTCCACAGACCTAACTAGTTAGGTTATGTAGCAGGTTTTTTTTTATTTTTTTTTATCAGCGTAATTTGTGTTGCAGAGATGGAGAAATGAATTTGTCGAGTGGGACCCAGAACAGTGTGGTTCTTCAGCGATTACAATTCCAAGGAAACTGCTCTGGGTACCAGACATGGTCATCAATGAATTGTAAGAGCAGCATTAGCTGTGGATTGACTAATTCACTAAAAGTTGTATTTATGTTTTTTTGTTTTGTTTGGAGTATATATTTAAGTATTTAGTATTTGTACACAGAAGGAAGATATTACCGTTGATATTTACTGGCTTTTGTCTTTTCCTGTCCTGCAGTATGGAGAAGAATTCAGCTCCATTCGTGCCCTACAGTTATCTGTATTCGAATGGCTTCGTGCTGGATTCACATCCGATCAGAGTGATCAGCTCCTGCAGACTCGACATCTACACGTTTCCATTTGACGTCCAGAACTGCAGTTTAAGCTTCAACTCTTATTTACACCGTAGTAAGTAGAAGATATTTAGTTATTATTGACATCATATACAGTATGTATAAAGTCTCACAAAAGCATTCACCAAATCATTGTTTCCGCTCAGAGGCTGCTCTGCAGATGGACATCTCTACCTCTGTAGAGGATATTTTAAACCAATCAAAAAAAGTGATGACAACCATGGGTGAGTGGGAACTCATTGGTCTCACAGTGCAAAGGATCACTCTACCAGCTGGGGATGACGAATTGTACCAAGAGATTCGCTTCTTTGTAAGAACATGCTGTTGTAATGCTTTATCTTATTTACACAAGATGAAAGCTAAGAGTAAAATGTAAAAGTTGAAAAGTCTATAGAGACTCTTTTTGTCACCAAATACCTTATGATTATACAAATAATGTTAAGCTTAAAGGTAAAAAAATGACGAAACATTAATGCACCACAGCATATTGATGTATGCATGTACCATTATCATACACAGTAATATGAACATAGCAGTATGTCAGTCTGTTAAACCAAACCATTATACTGTATCCAAATGCTACAAATGTGAGTTTTATCCTATTTTTATGCTGTTAAAATGTAGAAAACTTTAACTGAAATTGAATGTCATGTAATTGAATTTAGCAGTTGATTACAGCTGTACTGTTATATAACTTGAGAAATGTGGTATACACTGCTACAGGTGACAGTGAGGCGCCGGGCCACCCTCTATGTGGTGAACCTGCTGATCCCCAGCTGCTTCCTCATCACAGTGGACCTCTTCAGCTTCCTGCTGCCCCCCCAGACTGTGGACCGTTCCATGTTCAAGATGACCCTCATCCTGGGATACACTGTCTTCCTGCTCATCATGAACGACCTGCTGCCCACCACTGGAAACACTATTCCTCTCATAAGTCAGTTGTCAATATGTTCTACTTGTGCAAGAACACACAATTCAAAAACGAGTTAATTATTATTATGGTAACTGAGTAAAGGTAATGCTCCCCAGTCCATGTTTAGGTTTTTGCAAGTAGGATCTTTTGGTTCTTGGTTTGTTTTTGTTTTGTTTTTTTTATTTTCGTCATTATCATATTTTACTGTAAAAGTTCTGAAAACCAACTGTACACTAGCACCAAATAGCTGCAGTTAGCAACTGGTTGGTGAACATAGTGGAGCAAGTAGAAGCCAGAACCAAATTGTTCCATTGTGTGTAAGTGGAGATTAAATGAGTAAACAGCAACTGTTCACTGACACATTTGCATGTTTTAGAGAAATAAAAGGAGATTAAACGTCATGTCAATGGCCTTAATCTTGCATTTTCCTGCCTGGACTTAACTTGGATTTTATTCTAAATATCCCAGATGTGTTCCTGGGGCTGTGTCTGGCTCTTATGGTGAGTAGTCTAATGGAGACTATCATCGTCACCAACCTGCTGTGTGGCTCCGCTCACTACTCTCCAGTCCCTCGCTGGCTCCGAGTCTTGGTTCTTCAAATCCTGGGTCGCCTGGTTAGGCTTCCTCCAAAGCCCAGAGATCTAGAGGACACAGTCATCCAGAATCCTGCCACACAAGGTAGAATTTAAAAGGTGTAAGGTGAAACATTTCTTGAAGTCAGCATGCAGAAAAACACATATAAATAATCACAGTTTCCATCACCTCATCTCCTCTGCAACAGAAATGAAAGTCTTCTCTGTGGTGGCAGCGGACAGCGAGGCTCCAAAACAGAAGGGACAGCTGAATAACGACAAGGCCCTTCAGGAGCTGAGGAGCCTGGGTATGGACCTCCAGGCCATCCGCCTCCAGGTGCAGCAGCAGCAGGGAGGAAGCCAGAGCTCGCAGGAGTGGATCCAGGTGGGATCCATCATAGACCGCCTGCTGTTCGGCCTATACATCCTCTTCATATCAGTCAGCTTCGTTACCATGATCATAATCTGGGTGAAATCATGAAACATATTCTGAGTTCGCTTTTTTCATATTTTGGGGGATTGTGAACTATTATTTGTTATCATGCTTTTTTGTTCAATAAAAAACATGATTTCTGTTATTCCTTGTCAGTTTGTACTTCGAAAAGCATTTGAAAGAAGCTTTTTACATTTTGTACCCCTTTTAAAATACATTTGAATGTTTTGTCATGTATTTTCTTTTGTTGAAAATGGTCTTGCCTTTGAAACAAATATCCGAGAGTTTCTGAAACTCCTGTTGACTCTTCTCTTTCAACAATAATTTGCATACACGTACAAACTATTGGACTTACAGTAAATACTCTAACCTCAAGGTATCTTCCAAACTTAGCATGTGTTTTAAAGGTTCTTGGCTTCATTGAAAACATACATCTCAACAGTAATAAAGGAGCGGCCATGGTCTTTCACCGTGTGTGTCTTTTTTTTTTTGCATCTTATATTCAGATAAATGATTGAATATGAGTGATGAGCTAGAGTTTCAAAACAGATGATTGGAATATATCCACACAATCTCACCAATTTCATAGATGCCACAACACATACCTGATTAACATGGTAATGCAATATAAAGAATACAAGCATGTTATACTTTCATAAGTAAAACTGTGAGTTGAGTTAAGCCAATCAGAAGAAAGGTACACAATTTGTTTATACCGTTGACATTTGGCTTAAGTTGATGGGACAACGACGCGATGGCAGACATAGAGATGTTTTTTTTCATCTGTTTTTCACTACTTCACGGTAAGAAAGAAAGTATAGGATCTTATAATAGTCGAGCCTACTTAATCAGTAAAATAAAAAAGAAAGAGGATCTGTTTAAAACTTGGTTTAACTTCCATTGATAACGAACTTTAAAATTCAAGATTTTGGGAAGAAAATACAAGAGAAAACAAAATAAAATGGATCAATATTAAGTGTGTAGAAGTCATAAAGCAGTTTCTACCCTAATCCTGTAGTAGAGCTACGAAGGTGGACTAACCTTTGAGAGAACACATATATAAAATATATTTATATATGATAGGCCTATATATTTATTTGGACTGTCTTGTGAATTTAGATTCCTTCTTTCTCTTTTTGAACTCAGGTTTGGTTAGAGCCGAAGAATGATAACACGTCCACGTCGGTAGAGTGGCTACTCGCATCATGGTTTGGTTTCGTCAATTTCCATACCCTTCAAAATCACGTCGAATGAGGTACAAACAACTCAGCTGTAAATTCTATTGCGGTCCTTCTATGCACATAGTTAGTCCCTGGTGGTCTAGTGGTTAGGATTCGGCGCTCTCACCGCCGCGGCCCGGGTTCGATTCCCGGTCAGGGAACTACTGTTTTGGGGCGGGTGAAATCTCAGACTACGGATCATATGGAAACCGCAGGGTCACCGCTTCAAACCCTGCAATTTCGAAAATGAATAATTAGCATAAACGAACTGAAATAAATGTGTTCCTCCACTCAACTTTCTAGAAAAGTATAACGCCATAATTAAGCACCTGGTAGCCTACGACTTGAGACTGGAACAGATTTGAACTCCCATAGGTCGAGGTGTTGAAAAATAAAATGGTTCAATGCTCACTGGAGGTGTGGAACAACAAGTCTTATGTTATTCAGAGTGTTTATGATCCATCTGCACATACTGTAATTCACTTTTATTTTCTAATAAGGTTGGTCCATTAAGACTGACTGTCCTCAGAAGGATAGCGAAATCAGTATGTGCTTGAGTCTGCAATATATTATATACTTCTAATAAGTTAGTAAAAGAAAATATGTCCACAATCTCCACAACACAAAAGTAATATTTTGTTTGGTATATATTTGATATTGTAGGCCTACTTCTGTTTTTATAACTCATGTTATGGGGACAAAACTGATGACATTACGAGAACTCAGTAAGCATTTGGGTACAAAAGGGTTGTCCAAAAGTTGAGGGCCTAACTTAGTAAGGCATGTACTGTAGTGGGTGTCGTTAACATTAGGGTTAGTCTCAAGGGAATTATTGTTAGTCATTTCAATGTCCTGCTAGGTGCCAAAAAACAAGTGTGTGTGCATTTGAACAGCCTATAGGAGCTCTTAGCTTACTCCTGGTCAGATTGTTGGTTGTGGAGGATATTTAGTTCATCAAAAACCTTGAGCATGAATCCATCTCTGAAGAGAATCAGCATAATCTCAGCTTCACTCTTAATTGCAGGTAATGATGACCTATTTCTATGTACTACTTTATTGTTCATGATTACATATTACGTTTTTTCAGAGTGACGCATGTTTAGCTCTGCAACAGAAAACATTCTTTCTAGTTCATCCTGCATGTTTCAAGTCTAAATGATCCTACAATGCAATGATATGTCATATTTTGTGTTTTACCCAAGTAAATTATAACTGCTTGGATATGAGAATGTACAAATGGAGAAAAACACTTATCTATCATTCATCTATCCACTTTATTTACCGTTTATAATCATTCAGAGTAATATATTCATTACAAAAAATAGTTTGGAGTCATTAAGCTATATTATACACATTTTAATATAAGAATGTCATTATGATCTATTTTGTCCTATAGTTTTACTCAAATTAATATTATAATATTGATACGAATATACAATTATATTCAAACAAAGCTAGCTTTTTTCAAGTCTAAAATGTTATTTTCAGTTTATCTTATTTATGTTTGCAATAATATTATATTGAGTAAATTATTTTTATAAACGGCCTCTCTCTGGTTAGTGTCTCTATGTTGTGGTAAACTGACCTGCAAAGAGGGACAAAGCGGTCCGACCCATGAGTCCATGCTGGCTGTGTTTGACCTGAAGTCCTTCAGGCCAGCAGTGAACCTCAGCAACCCCACCATAAGTAACATCTCCTTCACCCTGTATGCTGTGCTGGGGGTGGTGAGTTTGTCCGTGAGCGGATCAGAGAAATCCATCCATCCAACTAAATCCAGATTAAAGAAGCTCTTAGAGAACCTTCATTATTGTAGAGAGAGGGAATTTAATCTAAGAAGATTGCTGTAATGATATTGTCTATATTTTTGCAAAGATCTATCTCTGCAATTGATAATACATTTTGATAATATCAAAATCATGTGAATTGCTGTAAATCATTGCATTAGGACTTCACATTAACCAATGATTAATACATTTCAGAATGAGAAAACCCAAATACTCACTACCTTCTTGTGGCTGAGACAGGTAGGCCTATTTAGCATGGAAAGACATAATACACTGTGAAAAATGAAATGGAATCTGATGTTTCATGTGCCTGTAACAACAGAAGTATCACATACAGACATTATGAAATTTCAAGGCAAAAAAAACTTTTCCGATTCATTTTATTTCGCTGCAGTACTGGAGACATGAGTTTCTGGTTTGGGACCCTGATGAGTGTGACGGCGTCACCAAGATTTCTCTCCCCGCAGCGCAGCTCTGGTCTCCAGACATCATTGTTTATGAGTTGTAAGTTAACCAGCTGTACATAGTTTTTTATGTATGGTTCCTTCAGGGTTTTGTCACAAACTGTATGGCTCATAATGAACTTCAACATTTCTGAACTACATCCTAGGATACGATAATGAAGTTGCACTAGGCAAGGCAAGAAAAGGCAAGGTAAGGCAAGGCAAGGCAAGGCAAGGGCAAGGCAATTTTATTTATATACACTTTTCAGCATGTGGCGATTCAAAGTGCTTGACAGATTAAAAGCAAAAGACATTTAAGAACAAATAGAGCATAAATACATTATTACACAACAGCCAAATTACACTACAAAGAAAAAAAGATGATACAAATATTATTAGGTTGCTTTTTACGTCAAACAATCTCTGCAATCTTTTTATTAAGGGCGGTGTTAAAAAAGCCAAAATTAACTAAGAGGTTATACTGGTTATAGTTGTGGGTATAAGGCCAAGGAAACATCATTTTTGACACAGTCTGTACAGTCAGCATGTATAGTGTTTGCTTTTGGAGTTGTGCACTTGGAACAGACTGGAGATCATAGGTTTCCAATGGAAAAAGTCAGAACTGTAAATATTATTGTAATTATAGCCCACTATTCAGCTGCAACCAAGAGACAGATCTTGACGGAAAAATATCCCACTTCCTGCCTGGACCAGAGTTTCTTGCACATCTTGAAGCTGCCAAAGACCTTCAGGTCCCATCTGAAATAGGGCCAGAAACAAGCCTGCCCACTGACAATCAGGTGATTCTAAAATGAAAACTGCTCTGTCGTGATCTTGTGCACCAGCTGCATCATTGCTCCCTTGTATGGCAGCACGTACATGAGGCTCATCCGAAGAATTGCTCATCTTTAATATGATACCATAGTCATCGGAGACATTTTCCATAAATGCAAATAGGTCTACTATTGGTCAAAAGTTAGCCACAGGTTGGGATCCTCCTCTGTGTTGAAAACACATACCACCTTGTGACGGTTCAGGGTATAGATATGCAGGACCGACCATACTGTTCACAGTTTTTTCAGAACTAGAAAGTAGGGGGAAGGAGGTGGATTAGTGGATCCTGCTCAGGCAAGTGTAGGATATGGCCATCTAATTTTGTTGTTAGTGTGATTATTTATCTGTTGAAAACATATCTGACAAGACAGCTTGCAAAGCTGAGAGAGCAGAGAAGTGGAATGAACTGTGAAAGTGTTTTGTTTGTGATTTTGCTTCCTTAAGAAATTACACCTTTGTCCTTTTACTTCAACCTGTGTCTTTTATCCCTTCCAGTGTGGATGACGATGTTTCCCAAGCGTGTCCTTACGTCTACGTCAACCACACCGGTCACATCCGCTGGGACAGGATGCTTCGGCTCGTCTCATCCTGCAACCTGGAGATCTTCAGTTTTCCTTTTGATGTGCAGAATTGCTCATTTACATTTGGCTCCTACATGCACACTAGTAAGAAAAAACGTTCTAAAATGTACACAATCACAAACTCATCTGGTCTCTTTGTTAATTTAATATATTTTTTCCCAAAAAGTGTGAATCACGGCCACAACCAGGCGTCATGGAACATACAGTCCTAAATGAGCACATACAATATTAGGCACATAGGTCAAGTAGTTTGCAAGAGTAACTTATAAATGATTTATAGATTCACTTGGATGGTGCTATATTTGACTAGTTTTCCCTCTCTCATTGTTTATTTTCTTTCACAGTAAGGGATGTGAGGTTGGGTCCAGCTCTGACCTTTGAGGAAATGTCTGGAAATTCAAAGCGCTACCTGGAAGCCAGCGGAGAGTGGGAGCTAGTAGACATCCTGGGAGAGACATCCATCCTCAAGTTTGGGATCGACCAGTGGGACATCATTACCATCTGGGTGAGTGTAGTCATAAAGAGTGGAACACAATGATAGTAAGGTTGTACAGGATTTAAGCAGCACAAGAGGCGATCAGGAGGTTCAAATATGTAGATAAAAAATAACCCCAAACCTCCAGACACCAAGCAACAAACACCACACATGCTCAATATCAGTAGAGAAGGACAATGAGAGAGTATATACCTATAAGTCAATGCTGTGTTTACAACTTGATTGGGCTGCCCCTGAGTGGCCAAATCCGTTATTGCAGGTTTAACACGTAATTAAAAAAGCAAAAATAAAACTGTTATTCAAGAATAACAACATATTGTCATTATATCATGTTCCTTCCAAATGCATATTTTCCTAAGATAAGTCAGTTTCATTATATGTTATGACAGATAACGTACCATGTTTTGGAAAAAAATGTTGTTGATGTCCAACACATGTAAAGGTGATCCTTTAAACTGCGCCTTGTTTACTAGGTGGTCATAAAGCGGCGGCCGGTCCTCTACGTGGTCAACCTGCTGATCCCCAGCTCCTTCCTCATGCTCATCGACATCATGTCCTTCTACCTGCCCCCGCACAGTGTGGATCGCGCCTCCTTCAAGATGACCCTCATCCTGGGCTACACCGTCTTCCTGCTCATCATGAACGACCTGCTGCCCAGCACAGCCAACGGCACGCCCATCATAGGTCAGAGGTCGTGACGTAACCTGAGCATTATCATAGCCTGAGTTGTAGGTTTACCATCACCAACATCATGATAATGAAGTAGCTGATTCCAACCACCACCTATCTATTTTCTTAAATGGTTTCAATACGTTTATGTAATTTGCCCCTAAGTGGCAAAAGTCAATCAATGAAGTTTTGAGTTCCCCCCCCTTGCTTTTTTCAAAACTACACAGCTGTCCTGTTGAGTGTTTATCAGATAATTAACACAGAGATGTAAACTGAAAGGAATTGAAATGTAAGTATTGGATCTAGCAGAGTTTCTGAGTTTTAACATATTTTTAATATGTTATCATAACAGTCATTACATATTTTATGAAATGTAATATAATTGTATATTTTTTACATTTCCTAAATTCTGCCTTCGAGATGATGTTGAGAGTTAAAAACATATAGTGTAATGGGGTTGATTGAAGCTTTTTCAGTGGCCAATGGCTGTATTAAGATAGCATCAACGGGTGCCTTGCCTAATATAAGAGGGATACTTTCTAAAATAAATCACTGTACAAAGTAACTGTACTGATGGACAGATATATTTTTGCTGCCTTCTGCTACTGAGGAAATACATTACATTTTGTATATGTGACATATTTAATATGCATCCTTTGATCTCTCAATCTCTCCTTTAATAGGTATCTATTTCTCGGTGTGTCTGGCCCTCATGGTCATCAGTCTACTGGAGACGGTCATCATTACCAATGTCCTCCACCACAGCTCCATGAAATCTAAAGAAGTCCCAAACTGGGTGAGAGTGGTTGTCCTCAAACACATAGCCAACCTTATCTGCTACAAATGGCCAGAGGACGTCCAGCCGCCCTCTGATCCACAGGAAGACAAACCTCAAAGTTCAAATAGCAACTCGGAGTCATGGAACATCCAACCAGCCATCCAGACACCTGCCACGCACCCAAACACCAACGAAGGTAATCAAACTCTGTCCATTACAAATAATACTTCGCTGTTACTATTGCCAACTGGCCTGACCAATAAGAAATACAAGCTGTAATCTATGAAAAACAATTAATCGATGTATGTCAGGCAACGAAATATAACTATAATTACACAATTTAGCTTCTTCTGTGATTTAATTAGTCTCTTACATGTGAGGCAATTTTGTTTGCTTTATGTTATTTGGTTAGTAAGTCAAATGTAATTTTATTCTCAACATAAGTTGTCTTTTGGGGGGTATTTTAAGTTGTAAGTTTGACATGGTAAGCAGCCTTTAATTCACCATTAGGTCAGATATGCTGATATTTCCTATTGTTCTAATTTAGTCATGCATGTGCTAAAGTTGTCAGTTTTAACAGTTACCGCTGGCATTCACTGGATGTACACCCAGATTCCTCCTATCACTGCTCTTCTGCCAGGTGCTGCTTCTATACCTGAACTGAAACAGATCTGTCAATATCTGGGAGACCTTCGTGGCCATCTCATCTCGCTGCAGAAGGAGAACGAGCTGACGGACCAGTGGTGCCAAGTAGGATACGTCCTTGACTTTTTGCTCTTCCGCGTCTATCTGCTGCTCATTTCATGTTATGCGGTGGTCATCATCTGCATGTGGTGTGTCTGGATCAGCCAGACCTAAGTAATCTATTCAGGGACGGTTCATAGTGTGTCTAAGTAATCATTTTAAAAGCAATCTGTGTAACTAGATTTCAGAACAATATGTGATGTTTGTGTTTCACTTTGTGTCCTGAAGTTATTTTGAAAAAACGAAATAATAACTACTTTGATCTTGAACATAAGTTGTTCATAAATCTAATCGGAGTCCCACAGGGTACAATTATCAGACCTCTAATATTAAACTTTTATGCTAAGAGAAACTATGAAAGAGTGCATGTTTGTTATATATGATAATATGGCAACAATAAAAGGCTGCAAATAAATCAGTAGACCCAGTCTCTTTTCTTCCTTTTATTTTTGACAGGCAACAATGATCTCATGGGATCAAACAGACTGCTTACATTGAGGTGACATTTTGACTTTTGATTTTTGTTTCCATATAAAGATAAGTTGTCCTCAATAAATCTTATTTTGCCTCAGCTTTTTATCTTGAACAAATCCTCCGAATTTGTAACATCCTCTAAGACATATTTACACAGAACAGCTATGGAGTTGGAGGAAGAAATATAATCTTATTTCAGCAGACATCTTTGTCTAAATACCTAACTGAAATGAACAATACATGCTTAAACATAATGTCCTCTCAATTTTTGAATCTAGTCTTATGTGAATGTATGGGTTTAAACCATGGTAACTGTACACTGCCTAACAAAGCGTTATTTTTATTAAAAATGACTTCAGTTGCTTATATTTGGTTGTCACAAACCAAATCTACCACAGAAAACACCTACCAGGAATAAATTAAATGGAGCAGTAATTATTTGGTCATTCAGTCTGAGCATAGGGCTTTCCTCTAAAACGTATGGACCCAAACTTGTTAGCAGGGAAAATAATAGCACTAAAAGACAAGTTATTTCCTAAATACTTTAGCAACATTTAATTAATGAGGATTCAATGTAATTTGGGTGTTTTGAGTCCTGTTGGCATCATGGCTCTGGAGATGGCAATGTCAGTCTGCAAGCCTAATTGCATTCGCATGACCCTCAGCTTTCTCTGAGTCTTGAGCAAATTATGTCCATTGTTACATACTAAACCATTTAATAACTAATAAAAGCATACTTGTGTATACAGTGCTGTTTTTTTTGCCTTGGCTTCAGTTGAAAGGAAAACATATTGACATCTAATTCAAGTTCACAAGAAGATGATTTAAAAACCTGTTGTACAATCCAAACATTCATTATGCAAAAGCATCAGACAAATGGCTCCTTGAAACAACTAGGAGTACACTATAGGGCTTAGCCTACAGTAGGTCGTGCTGATGTATCAAATTCCACAGTCAATATTTGCCTCTGGAGGAGGAGACACACTTAAAGGGATTACTCCTAAAATCATATTGATCCACCAAGAAGTCTTAATTTGAAGGAGCACACTGACGACTTTTGTCTTGTAATGTGAGGCATTTGTCAAGACAACGGCTTAACCTTGACGGAAAATGACAGAAGTGAATTCTGCTGAGCTCATCTTTATCTGTTTCATGCTGCTTTACGGTAAGACACATTGACTAACACAATTGCTAAAGAAAACAATCTGTTAAATTTAAAAGGTGCACTTCAGTTACATCTGGTCCTCATGGTACATTGGGAACTTTTTTTAAATACATAACATGATAAGGATTCATTTAAAAATGTACTGTTATGTTTGTTGTCAGTAAATACTTAATTAGAACCTAAAGTTAAATTCAATAAATGTATTGTCTTCTAAATAATATAAATGTTGTTGAGAATTTCGAAATAAATATCAGATTAATCATGTCACATGTTAATTATCTTGTTATACTCAATTTTAAGAAGAGGTGAGGAGTCTTTATGTCGGACGTTTATATTGAAGCCCTGTTTCAGGACGTAGCACCCATCCGTGCTCCCACTTTGGGATTTGGACATTAATATCGCAAAAACAGCCCTTTTGTTTTTCCAATAATAAAATAGCCTGAACACAATCCACTTGGTATACCTTTACCGTATACAGCAAACAAAGAAAGATCTGCTATGCTTTGATGTCCAAACCATTAAAAAAAACTGGGACTGTGCCTGTATTTGAGCTTTATCACAAATGATGCTTTCTGTTTAAACTCAGGTTTTGCAGCAGCATTGAACTGCACCAGCCCTACACCTGAATCCTTGTTTGGTGAACTTGAGAAGGATCTATTCCCTAAAAAACTACTGCGACCTGTTAATAGTTTTTCAAGTCCACTTAACCTAACCATTAGTATCACTGTGGTGGGAATAATAGGAGTGGTAAGTCTTTTCATGCCTTTGCTGAAAAACGTTTTCAACTTTCAACTTTTTTTTACAAGTCATCAACGGCTAATTGACTTAAAACCTTTTCTCTCCTGCAGGAGGAAAAATCCCAATCACTGGCAACACTCATATGGCAAGTTCTGGTAAGTTCTTAGAGAACTGAAACAAGCATCAACTAAGTATTGGACTGTTTAAATCCACTACATTAACTTTGTATGCTATTATTGCAATTATTTTAATTATTATGATTGCATTACCGCACATTTAGAGGTGTATCTTTTTGAATACCACTGAGGGGTAAAAGTCTGGTGTTGGATTTCTCTAAACACTCAAAATAATATGTGAATGGCTTATCAAGTTACTGTAATACACTTTATGCCTGATAGTTTAAAATTACATAACTGGAATAAACTTCAGTTAAAGTTGACTTGATATGTCCAAAGCCTTGATTTATTTTATTTATTTACTTAAATAATGACATAATGGTGTTTTGGATCGAACGTTGCTGTAGTGAATTTAGGTAGTGACACATAAATATAACAAAGTCATTTTTCAAGCTGTACCTCAATTGGACGTTGATCTGTTTTATGCAGGAGTGGAATATAGAGGGACTGAGCTGGGATGACAAGGAATGTGGAACCTCAAGAGTCTCTGTCCCACGAGAGAAGCTTTGGATCCCAGACGTCCACATTGCAGAGTTGTAAGCTAAGAAGACAGTTTTCCAACAAAAACATTTCAAGTTCTCAGACTACAACATTAAATACAAATGTAAATAAACAATGACAAGAGTGGGCTGTGGGAGAGGGATATTAAACCTCTTTTCCTTGTATTCCTCTCTCCTCATAAAAGGTATTAAGTTTATTTCCTAATATATCAAATGTTTTTTTATATTCTTTTACAGCATGACTGAGGACAAATCTCACAAAACTCCCTATGTCTACATTAACAACACAGGTCATGTATTTGATGATAAACCGATCGCAGTGATCAGCTCCTGCATATTGAATATCTACAGTTTTCCCTTTGATATCCAAAACTGCTCACTGACCTTTGGATCCTATCTACACTTTAGTAAGCCTGCTTAAACATTAAACACAGTTGTTCAAAACTATTTTTTTTTAAACTGCATTACTTTTTTCAAACATCACTAAAGCATAAAATACAAAATGTATAAGCAGTCACTGCGGTTATTTACTGTAGGTTAACTTATTTTTACTTAAAGTTTTGATAAAGAAATGTGTGTGACACAAGGTTACATAAAATATCAGATTTGTTGTTGACACAATCACAAATTGTACAATTTAAACTGTGTAAATTCCTTTGAAAGCGTCCAAATATCTCAATTTGTGTGGGGAGATAAAAAACTACTAAAAACTAAAACTTTGCCTTTAATGTTATTCAAGATACAGACATCAGGATGGTTCAAGGCTCTTCATCTGAAGAGATCCTGGAGGAGTCCCTACAGGTTTTGAAGAACAACGGGGAGTGGGCGCTCATAGGGGTCCATGTAAATCCTGACGCCCAACTGGTGTTAAGTGAGGGAAGCTACTCAGAGATCAAATACTATGTAAGCACTTTTAACTACTAACATTGTTCATGGTCACTCATTTTTGATTAGATATAGCTTCACACAATCCCATACTACATGCTTATTTGATAAAATATAGACAAGTCATAGTATACTCTGAGTTTTAAATAAATCAACACACTTAAAGTTTCCTTTAAGGAGGTCCGAGCATGAGGAGGATGTAGAGCAGGGGTCGGCAACCCCTGGCACGCGTGCCAGCATTGGCACGCGGCACCGTAACCAGTGGCACACTAGGAATAAGTGGAATAAGAGTGCAAAAATATTTAAATTAATTTTCGGATCCTGAACGCGAGACCGCCGCCAGAGCGCGTCTCCCCGTTACCTGCAGAAGGAAGCCATGCACGCAACGCAGCCCCGCTCTCTTTAACTCCAGGTGACTTTCTGCCGCTTTCCTCCGTGGTGCAGTGCTGATCGTTTCACCACGGAGGAAAGCACTTCACTAATTGCAGTACCCATAAGGAGCTGTACAAATGACGCAGTTTTTGCGTGGCTGTGTTTATTAAGTTGAAAGCCCATTGGCGAACTGCTCATCTCTCATCGAAATAATATGCTACAAAGGGGCGGACTGGCCATCTGTGTGTTGAACTTTCCTGTCGGCTCCCAGACCGTAGTCGAGGAGGACAGAAGCCGCAAGCTTCAGGTTCAATAACCCACTTTAGCTTAAATGACTGGAGAGAGGCGAGCTCTTCTTGGGAGGCCGTTGCATTTATTTAGCTGTTCTTCTGTTTCACAAAATACATCACAGACCTCTGTTTTTCTGCTTCCTCGTTTCACTTCCAGAAACATACACACATTCTCTCACTGTCGCTCTACCATCCACAAACACACATGCACAAGCCACACCCCACACTCCTCTCTCTCTCTCCTCTCTCTTAAAGGGACAGCGATCTCATCTCACTCTGCATGACCCTAATATCATAACATGTGTGCTCTGGAGAATCACAGAACGGATGTGAAAGAAATGTGTTTGTTAAATTCGGCATCATGTAAGTTGCGCTGACAGGTCCACACACTGCTTCCCCGAGCGTCAAGCTCCTCAACCCCCCCCCGTTGATAATTCTCGATCGCTGGCACGCTGATAACAATTTTCTTTTAAATGGCACTTCATATCAAAAAGGTTGCCGACCCCTGGTCTACAAACTAAAAACATCCCATAAAAACAGACTACCTTTTCCACTCTTCAGTGAAGTCCCATGTGTCTGTGAGAGAGTTGATTACTAAATGTCAAGTCAAAGTCAACTTTATTGTCATTCTTCCAGTTTGTGTGCACAGACGGAGAGATCGAAATACCGTTTCCCACAATCCAGAATATAAAAAAAAATGTATATAAAAATATGTGTGCAAATATTTATATATATATATATATACACAGAATCAAAGACACGTTTACATTAAGACCTAAATAAAACAATACAACAATCAATATATACAAAATAAAGTGACAGTGGCTATAAATAAATAATAATATATATAAATGTTTGCATTTCCAGCTGGCCTTCTATAGTTGGTGGAAGAATGAAAGAGCCTGCAGTCAGTGGGTAACATCACTGATCTGATTCCCCAGAGAGAGAAACACCTCCCTGTGTTTAATACAATACTGCTGAACCAGCAGAGACCCCTTACTGACCTGAGGGTCTCCAGTCTGCAGTCTGGACTCTCCAGAAGATCTCTCAGCAGCTCCACTCCTGAATCCTTCAGAGCGTTCCAACTCAGGTTCAGATCTCTCAGATGGATGTTGGACTTCAGAGCTGAGGCCAGAGCAGAACAGCTGATCTCTGACAACCTGCAGTTCCTCAGACTGAATAAAGAAAACATGATGAGGATAAAAATCAGTTTATAATCCAGTCAGATGTTCAGGTCTGAAATGTGCAGCTCATCATCACTGCGTCCTAATCAATGATCTGAATAACAGTGACCGTCATTCTGTTATTGAGGATCATCTTTATATCAGCCTTCTCTTTATTATCTGTGAAAACACATCTAAATGATTGGGAACTAGGGCTGCACGATTAATGGAATCGCAATATATCAGCTTGTGCGATTACATAACGGCAATAGGCTGCGATTGAATTAGATAATAAAATGTGCGTGGTGTAGAGCCGATGAGTGGGAGTCGGAGGCGGTGTGTTTAATATGGAACTCCACACTTTATTTTCCATTTAACTACACACACAAGAACGTGCTAGCTGCATGCTACTGTGAAGCTGGAATGCTAACAACAGGAAACCGGAACACCAAGTGTAGCACATCCCTCCGAAAGATGGTCGTACACTTGACTGATGATTTCTCATTTATTGAAAACTCCAAAAATCAACGTAAGAGCTACACAAAGACACAAAACAACAACTACAGTTAAGCTTCATCCATATTAGCATCACTTTAGCAAACCATTAAACAAGTGAACCGCAAAGTTATAAAACAGTATAAACGAATCAGGACACATGTTTATATCAGTTAACACTAACCTTGTGCCTCTTGCTAATACTTTAATGTAAACTCTTTCTTTTGATATCGCCGTATTTAAATGTAGATATCTCCGTTAATGTCTGTACTTTGTCTCCGTTCATATCCATCAAGTTGTTTTCTTTGGGAACAGTAGCTTCCTGTTAATAGGCAAAGTCGCCTTCAAAATAAAAGCATGTCTAAATAAAACAGGAAGTTGAGTTAAATTACACTTAAGAAATGTATACAATAGCAATGAAAGTAACAAATCAATGCAATATCCTTTTCAGGTTCATTGGTGGCTAAAAATAATGCTCCATCTGTAATATGGCGTTACTTTGGGTATCACTTTTATTTAACATATATGTTGTTCCAGTTGTAGAGGTTACACTAAATATGCCCCATTTTGTTACTTGCTCTTTTCTCTGTTACAGCATCATTTGTTTGGGCATCCAGATGTCTTATTTAATGAACATGTGCATGTGTTCTTATATTTACTGGATAGTAGTGCAGAAAGTATGCAGAGAAAACCTTTATTTTCAAAGAAGATATATTTTGGTATTTATTTTATTTTGTCAAATTCTAAGTTATTTTCAAACAGTAGCCTACTACTCAGATATTGTTGTTGTTGTTGATTTGTTTATGATTCTTTGAGGAATACAGATTTCAAAATGATCATTTGTCTGTGCTCTTTTCTTTCCCTGACCAAGTACATATTACACTTTGTTCATTCAATCACAAATCACAATATTGTCCACAATAATCTCAATATGACTTTTTCACCAAATCGTGAAGCCCTATTGGGAACATAAACATTTCTATGTCACAAAGTAAACTTTATGTAAAACTAATATTAGTTCAGAGGACCTTCTTTATTCAGACCATTTACTAAAGAAAACATACATTTACTTTAACAACTAACAGTGGAAGAATAATAGTTTCTTTAGGAAACAATCAACTGTTATGACTGCAGACTACATTTAGAGAAATACAAATGTGAACAAAACAACATTTACAAACGTATGGATGTTATATATATGTAGAAGAATAAGTTGAATAACTAATGAAACATGTGAGATCTCCAGCAGTAACAGAGAGTCAGTGAACTGACCTGAGAGTCTCCAGTCTGCAGTCTGGACTCTCCAGAAGATCTCTCAGCAGCTCCACTCCTGAATCCTGCAGAGCGTTGTGACTCAGGTCCAGATCTCTCAGATGGATGTTGGACTTCAGAGCTGAGGCCAGAGCAGAACAGCTGATCTCTGACAAACTGCAGCCCCTCAGACTGAATAAAGAAAACATGATGAGGATAAAAATCAGTTTATAATCCAGTCAGATGTTCAGGTCTGAAATGTGCAGCTCATCATCCACTGCGTCCTAGATCAAATGATCTTTCCCTGAATGAAGCAGGTGACCGTCATTCTGTTATGAGGATCATCTTTTATATCAGCCTTCTGTTTATTATCCGTGAAAACACATTAAATGATGAACTGGCTGCAGGATTAATGAACGCAATTCGCGATATCAGCTGTGCGATTACATAACTCCACAGGCTGCGATTGAGATTAAATAATATAAATGTGCGTGTGTGTGAGAGCGAGAAGCGGTCTGTGTTTGAATATGGAACTCCACACTGTATTTAAACTTACACCACAGAACGCAGCTGCCTGCTGCTACTGTGAAGCTGCGAATGCTAACAAACAGTGGAACCGGAACACCGAGTGTTAGCGCATCCCTCCGAAGACGTCTCATTGACTGATGATTTCTCTTTATTGAAAACTCCAAGANCAGTGCATACTTTAGGACAGTAAACCAGAAATATTGTTTAAATCTGGAGAGATTAAAGAATATGCATAAATAAATAAATGTTAACTGGTAAAATAAGAAATAAATGAACAACAAAAATAAAATAAGTTACATTTACTTGTTATTGGCTATGTTAGGTTATTGGTTATGTCCACACACTTATTTGATTATTAAAATGTAAACCGATCTTTTCGATATGGGTGTTTAGAGTTGTACCCCTTAGATCTAGTCTCTGGCAATTCAGCTCAAAGTGCACCAGATTGAAGCATTGTACTTTATAATGTTGAAAAAAAATCTTCCCTCCTGACCCTCCTAGAGGATGTGATCCCCACAGCACCCCCAATTTGAAACATGTTCCCACGGCTATGCATGTAAGTTGCGCTGACAGGTCCACACACTGCTTCCCCGCAGCGAGGCTCCCCCGCCCTCCTGCTGATAGTTGACGAGCGTCAAGCTCCTCAAACCCCCCCCCCCCCCATCCGTTGACAATTCTCGATCGTTGGCACGCTGATAACATTTTTTTTTTTAAATGGCACTTCATATCAAAAAGGTTGCCGACCCCTGATGTAGAGGATACAAAAGATGCCCAGGTGGGATTAATAATAGATGATTGCAACCAGCACAACTAGTAGATCACAATAGAGGGAGCGAAAACTTTTCAATGCACAGAATTTCACAATGTGGAAATGTTTTAAAAAGGAAAGGGGCGGTTTATACAAAAATATAGGCCTAATACACATACAAATGTATATCAATGGGGATGTATGCAGGTAAAAATGCCAAACATATTGCATTTTTTTTTTATTGACACCATGTGAAAAGAAACCCAAAGTGAATTGATGAGCTCAGCAAAAACGTAATATCAATCTCAAAAGACCAACAAAAATGTTGAGGTGTTGTACCTGTGTCCGTTCCCAAGATCATTTTGAGACGTCGGCCAATCCTGTATGTGGTGAACCTGCTGATCCCCAGCTGCTTCCTCATCACAGTGGACCTCTTCAGCTTCATGCTGCCCCCCCACAGTGTGGACAGGTCCTCCTTCAAGATGACCCTCATCCTGGGATACACCGTCTTCCTGCTCATCATGAACGACCTGCTGCCAACCACTGGGGAGACTACGCCTCTCATCAGTGAGTCACACCTGCTGTGAAATGTTTACTCATTTTATTCCAAAGAGGTTTGAAGGAACATCAACAATTCAAAGCTGTATGTGTTTTTAAGTGAGTCATTCCTAGCATTGGGTGTCATCTCAGCCAGGTTAGTATATTTGAAAAAAGGTCAGGATTTTTTAAATTTAATCTTAATGATGGCTTGTTAAAGTATTAGACGAATATTTTGGTCCGGCTCATGACATTCTGGTCAAATAATTACTGTTACTTTGAAATATAGTGACAGGGAGGACATTTTCCGCAAAACTTGGCTACTGCTACTTATTTGATGATAATCCTTGGTGACAACATACAAATATGTTTGAATAATTTAGTAACCACATCTTCTAAAAAATACCAAAAGACACACACACACACACACACACACACACACACACACACACACACACACACACAAACTCTATACAAAGTATTTATTATAAAATGTCTGGATATAGTAGAATTTCGTTGGTAGGCTACTCCAGTCTTAGCTTAGACCACACACGATACTTGTATTATCTTGGGTTCATCGTGAATTACCCTTACCCGGTGTATCTTTATCCCCGATGTCCATCTCGATTAAACGTCCAAAAATCCGCATAGAATCGCTGTTTTTAAGCTTTTTTCAGTATAAAAATAAAGCAGTGGTAGTTGTTTCTATATCCATAGGTGCATTGCAAAATAATCATATTAATAACTAATTTGGCATACTTTTAATTTGCCTATTTGCAAACCAATATATGCTAAAGAAATAAAGGGTTCAAGATGTAGCCCACAGCAGGGGCGGATCTAGAAACATATTCATGGAGTGGCAGGAGATTTTGAGGGGTGGCATCCCCTAGCAGAAGTATATACTGATTTAATCCCAGTCATATCAATCAATGTTAACTCGGAAAGCCACAATATTGATATTTTAACTAAATAACATTAGGTGACATTATTGAAGCAAAACAGTAAATCCTTAAATATAAATATATAAGGTGGCAATAATATAATGAATTTTAAATTAACAATAACTGAATGAGTTTGTTTCACTCTTAGACCAGAAGGGGTACCAAATATATGCAGAATACTGCAATAACTACATTAATTAACTGTCTCATCGAATCGATGTTTGTCTGAATTAATATGATAATATTAACAATCATGTCATTCCTATCAGCTGTCAATCACTGCATCAGTTAGGGTTAAAAAAACGTGTATTCAGCTAAAACATAATAATCACTGCAGTTATTGTCCAGTGGAAAGCCCATACTGGCCTAGTTAAATCAAAGTGGTTACTTTTTTTTGGCTGGGCAGTGTAGTTTTACACACCGTCTTATTTGACTTTCTCAGGACTTAAAGGTCCCGTGTCATGGCCATTTCTACTGATCATATTTCCATTGTTGAGGTCTACTAGAATAGATTTAAATTGTTCAATGTTCCAAACACATTGAACACATTGGTTTCTCATACAGCATCTCTGTATAGTATGTGTATTCACCAGGTATTCACTCTCTGTCCTAAACGGCTTGTTGGAGCTCCTGCCCCCCCCCTCACACATAAATGCTAAAAATGAAACAAAGGATCCAGCTTGACAAAAACCTCAACCTGCCAATGGGTTTCTGCCTTCTCCGTTCCTCCTTGTATAAAAACGCTTCAATGACTTTGTTTAGTGGGTGTACTTGGAAATAAATATTTAGGTTATGGTCTGGTTATTACAGTAGGCACGCCAGTATTAAATATACAAGCACTTAACAGGTTATTCAAGTTGAATGTAAACAGTATTTCCCCTATGAGATTATAACCAGGATATGACTAAAGCGATTAAGAGGGTTACTAATATGCAGTGGTGGCCCCAGGCTGTCTGAGGAACAGGGGCGACGAAAATAAAAGGTCATTTTAAGGCAATCCTAGAGGTCATTTGCATTTCCTTCACTTGAAAGGAGCACCAGGGCACGTTAAAATATATATTTTAAACTGGATCAGATTTTATACACGGGAAGGGCACCATAGGGAAACTTTTGCTGCATGTTTTGAGTTTTGAGTCCAGCAGTGCTACGTATGTATTAGAGTACCTAATGAGAAATGTGGTAAATCCTCCATGATTTTGTTTGATTTTTTTCTTTGTTTACTGCAGATGTTTTCTTCTCCGTCAGTCTCGCTCTGATGGTGGCCAGCCTGTTGGAGACGGTGTTGATCACTTATGTGCATTTCAGCTCGAGTCAGTACAGTGCGGTCCCTCACTGGCTCAGTGTCATCGTGCTGCGATATCTAGCTGTCGTTGTCTGTCTCCCTCCAAAGAAAAAGAGCAACAGAGTCACTGTCGTCCTCTCTCCTGCTAAAGGTTTGTTATTATTATTTTATTAAATACAGATATATTAATATTTTACTCAAAAATTACAATCTTTCCACTGGTGTGCGCATGTCGCTCCAGAAACCCCCTTTGGTTGGATTGTATTCAAAGTATTGCTGTCATGGTTTTTTATAGTTTACCTTATGCAGAGATTTCAAGCAGTAGGATAACAATTGAATGTTTTAAGTGTCCTGATGATGATTTTATAGTACACCTGCCATAAAGAAACTATTCACCATACCCATTGGATAATCTATTAGACTGGGAAATAGACGTTTTCGGCACAAGTTTGTCTATGTCACATATGTTCGATTTCAAAGAAGCTGTTCTTTGTTTTTGACAGAAAAAGAAAAGGATTTCAGCTTCAACAACATCTCAGCGATTCATCTTCAGCGCGCCCCTGGTGAAATATCTCCAGAGAAACAGCCTGTGGAGCCGGCCCTGGAAGAACTGAGGAAGCTGAGCAGAGATCTCTTGGCCATCCGCTTCCAGGTGGACAAACACTTCCAAGGGAGCACCTCCTCTCAGGAATGGCAAATGATCGGGATAGTCATCGACCGTCTGCTGTTCGGCTTGTACCTCGTCTTCATCATTGTCAGCTTCATCACTATTATATGTATCTGGAGCAGGAGCAGCTATACAGTATGATTAACCTAGTGCAGCGGTTCCCAACCTGTGGGCCGCGGCCCCCTAGTGGTCCGCGAAGGCATTGCAAGTGGGCCGTACAGGCTAAAGACACAAACATGGACATAATAATCACATAGGAGATGACATTCCCATCTCGATCAAAAACAAAACAAAAACGGAAGAAATAAAGATATAGTAGGATCACTTCAACATTTCAGAAACAAAAATAGGTTGACAACCAAATACCACCAAAAACAACATGGCAAGCATATTTATTGTTCCAACCTCTTAAGCCCCACGGACGATTCCGGTGCCGAAATCGCGTCATTTGCAGGAAACAACGTCTAAGGAACCTTAATATTTAATAAACTATGAATATTTTATATCCATATAACGGGAAAAAACTAATTTAACTGATCTTTTTCATTTTTTTTTTCAAAAAAAACACACAATGCTAACAGTGAGCCTCTGAATTAGCCCCGAGCGAAAAATGCTAACCTATTACTGCATCGAAAATCACTCCTAGGTCCCTTATTACTTATCCTAGCTGCACATCCAACACATCGTTTATGATTGTAAAGACACAGAATCTAACGGTGCCCACCTCAACACTGAAAGATACAAACTCGCGACGTTATCAACAAAAACGTACATCAAAACAAGTGGCGCTAGGTAGCCCACAACGCTAACATGGCTTAGGCTACCTTGGTTTTGTCTGGTCAAAACTGATCTTCAATGGCATTAAAACGATAACAATGATGATGTAGTTAATCCATAGGTTAATATCCAATGTGGCTGTGTCCCCTTTGAAATGTTCTGATAATCTATAAGCAATAAAACGGCAATTCCGTTTTTAAACATCAGAGCAGGCCATTCCTAGGCTCTATAGCTTCCTTGAATGCGCAAAGACAACATCCTTCTTTTTTAACATGAGTGTGTGCGGGACGATTTCCCTTCGATTCTATTGGCTCTAACGATCAGAAAGAGATGTCACATGTCAAAATCGACG